CTCTGCGCAGGCAAACGACGGCAAGACGGAGGACTGCTTGGTTACCTCGGTCGGGTTGAGGAGAGCTGAGGTGGTCGGCTGTGCAACGGGGAAGAGCAGAAAGAGGTGGCCGACCGCAGGTCTCCGGGTGGTGGTCTTCTCTCAATATGTCAAATTGCAGGAAATCTTGACATGGGGATGTGATGGATACAGTCCCTGCATCAAACAATGGAGTGAATCATGTGATATAGCCATTCTCGAAATCGCCTTAACCAGCACACACTCAATCACTCTTTTCTGGCCCCACCGCCTACGGAGGTTAATAACCATCACGAGTGCAAAAACCCCAGAATCCAATATGATTGGGCAATCTGTATACCGCCTCCTTTTCCGCCCGCAGTGTTTATCCTGTTCGCCTTACCCTAATTAGGTTAGCCAGCATGGAGTGGAACAGGCTTACCGTTCCAGGTCGGAATACTGTGACATAATCCACAGGCGAATAAAACACCCCAAAACTCCATACTAAATGCGATAAATAACAACTTCATATCTCAAAAGCCGTGGGTCTTTCGGATAAAATATGAGGCTTGTATAACCTCGATAGCGTTTCTGACCTACTGGTGCATTGAGAGTTTACTTTTAGAAAACTCATGGCGATATATATATCCGTGTCTCAAGGTCAAAATGATACGGTATTTTATGGTAACGCGTCGAAATAATGCTCTCACTAGCTCAAAATCTAGGCATATTATTCTTTTTGCTTAGAAAAGTGTTAATTCAAAATTTAACAAAAATAAAGCGCTGGTGGTTGAGATATAGAGGAATAAAGATGTAGCATTGGATATGGTATTTTATAGTTTCACTTGCCTATAAATTACATTACTGAATCTCCGATTCAGTACGCTACTGTAGTGTAGTGTACAGTATACAAGACCGTATGACTATGTATTTTTCAGAAGCAGACAATCCTTTCTTTTGATTTTAACATAGTGCAATTCCTACTGTTCTGTGCTCACATGAATAACTTCTATTTTCCCATGCCACGCCCTCAAATTGACCTGGAGCCTTACAGGGAGGAGATTACTCTCTTATATTCTCAGAATGCACGTATTGCTAATATCCAGACCATCATACAAAGCCACGGCGTCAATATCTCACTCCGCACGCTCAAAACTCGCCTTTCTTCCTGGGGCCTACGGCGCCAGCTACCTAGCCAAAATGAAGCTTTGCACGCTCGCCTTCTCACACTAATTACCGAGGCAGGTTTATCGGCTAAAGAAACACTCGAAGTGCTACAGAAAGAGGGATTCCGGGTCTCTGAACCTACGCTTGAAAGGTTACGAAAACGGCTTGGAATTCAGCTTCGTACAAACTGCCCGCTTCAGCGGCAGCAGCAACGGCTCGAAATCGAGGTTCTCTTGACTGAGGAGCTTGGAATTGGCGATGTCGAAGGCTATAGGCGTCGGATTCTCTATCACCACCTTCGCCGGCATGGTTTTCTTTTCCCACAGCACCGAGTATTCGAAGTCTACCGCTCTCTTCGCCCTGACTCACTCCTCCGCCGATCATACGATCTCCAGCGCTCCCGCGGCGAGTATTGGTGCCCTGGGCCGAATTTCGTGTGGCATGTGGATGGTTATATGAAGCTAGCGCAGTTCGGGGTTGAGGTTTATGCTGCCATTGATGGGTACTCTCGGTATATTCTCTGGATATACGTGGGAATTAGTACTCGTACCGCAGTGAGCGTTCTCTCTCAGTTTCTTGACACCCTCGCCGAGCTCTCCTACCAACCGGAGATTATTCGGTCTGACCTCGGCTCGGAGACCTCCCTTATTGGGGATGCACAATGGGCGCTGCGGCAGGTGTTCGATCCAGAGGCTGCCCATGGAGACTGTTTCTGGCTAGGGCGAAGCACAGATAACCAGAGAATAGAGGCTTGGTGGGCGCAGTTATCTAAGTCGTGTACTTTTCTCTATTACCAATATTTCCGGGAGCTCCGGGAACAAGGTAAGTCATCCTGCCCACTATCCGCTGCTGGTACTAATCCTCTATAGGTCTCTTCTCCGGCTCTATCCCTGAGCAGGTCGCCCTTCTTGCGGTTTATATGCCTACGCTCCGCCGGGTTATTGGTGAGTACGCTAAGACCTGGAATATTCATAATATCCGCAAGCAAAAGTCACGGCCGAACGCCGTTACTGGGAAGCCTTTTATGAATTATTTTAATGCGTCTAAGCCGGATTACCAGCGCGCAGTTAATCAGATGCTGCTTCGCGAGCTCCAGGAGGACGTCCGGGACTGGGATAAAGATGAATATTTACCCCCTGATGTCCTTGCTTGGTGCCACCAGCAGCTTCAGGAGATTGGAGCCGAGCTTTATAGGCCTGGAAATAGCTTCAATCCTGATAATTCTCCGTCTCGTGTTCCAGAGGAAGTTAGCCAACCTTACCGGGTCGAATATCTCGAACTCCGCCGCCGTGCTCTTCTTCATGACCAATTAGATAAACATCCAGTGCTCTGTCTTACTACGAAACCCCTCGGTGCATGGGATTGGGAGCCTGGAGAGGCACAGGAAGGCTAGTTTTCAGCACCTCTCTGTAGGATCTCGGCCCAAGATCTAAATTCAGGCTGATCAGCGTGTGCTACCGCGCTCTTGGGATTTTACGATAGCCAATTAGTATCCACGAGGTAGGGGATCGACGGAGGTAGTTCGGTATATAAACTTTCTTACGTATACATGTCTCAACGCCAAAAGACCAGGTTATCATAGTGCCACATAAAGTGTTAAACAGGGGAACTTCCGTCCTGACTAGTACTAAAGTGAGTAGTATTAAACATGCCTATTTGAATGTGGGTGAATTGAAGATTGTGAGGTCCGTTGGATGATCCTCCGGGGTCTGCCATAGCGTGTTACATACTATACTTCCGGAGCTATCCGGATTGCCATTAAAATCTAATGAAGGCGTGGAAGCTGAGTAAGCCTGTCTTTGGATCCCTTGTGGTAAGATATCTGCGCCTTAGTTCGTCATAAAATCTTCGCTAAGTACTAATTTTACAAGAGGAAATTCATTCAGTTTCAAGATAACTCGGCTCCTTCTTATATTTAAATTATTTTTGTACCTGATATTCTTCCTCAGAAACCCTCCCACTTGTGTTTCTATGGCTAACTACCGGAATACCCTGGCCCATCGTACCGGGGAAGATGTTTTTGCTTATGGTCCTATCTCTACTGCCCAGATCACCTCCCCTACGTATAGTACGAGCTCTTCTATACAGAATTTATCCTCTTCGGCCAGGGCGACGCTATACCAGAGAAGCCTCATTACCCCAGAACCACGCTTCCAGGCCTTATCAGAGACGACAAATGAGATACGGCAGCGCCAGATCCAGCAGCAGTCGATTCAGCGCCAATTTATTGGTGGGAGAAGCTCTAGAGGTAGCCGCCTCAGTCGAGGGCGGCCTCAAGTTCCTACAGCACCAGCAACGGTCTCATTAATCGTCCACTGCTATTTATATTGGTACTTGGGGTCGGGAAAGCCAGATAGGCTTGAAAAGCTAAGTATGGAGAGATCGCGCGGCCAAGAGAGAGATATACTAATTTGCCTCGTTATGAGTAGCTACAGTTACCCCAATCCTTACACCGGGTACTATCAATAGCTTCGTCGACTTCATCGAAAATGAGCTCCTAGTAGAGCTCGATCCTGAGGATTACACGCGTGAGCAAGGAGATACATTTCGATTTGCAACTGCAGTTAAGAATAAAAAGGAGCCATGGTTCCTAGGCATGCGGGAAGATCATGAACAGCTCCTCACAGACTTCTGTACGAAATTTACCAAAATCAAGGATAGTTATGAGGTCTTCCTGATTATCAAGAGAAAAAGACTTGAACCAGTGACGATAAAGCTTGAAGCTGAAGCTCCTGTGGCAGCAGGAGCTCCAGCGCCATCTCCTCCGCCCTCAGAGGTATCTATCTCATCATCTCTCCCATCGCTAGGAGCAATTATCAGGTCATTATCACCGCGGAGAGCTGTGGAGTTTACTCCGCCGCCGGCGCAGCCAGCGGCGCTGCCGCAGCGGCGAAAGCGAGCTCGTGTGCCGCCAGGGATCTCTCCACCACGTACCCGGCGGAGATACCAGCTGCGAGAGTCGGATATGGAGAGAATGACTGCGTCAGGACCTGTTTCGGAGACCTGGAGGGCAAACAGCGGGTAATTAGCATATGACATAGATGACGGAGTGGAAGGACTGGAGAGGATGTGTCATTTCGTGTTATATTTTTCGATTTTGAGACTCAATCAACTTCAATTTGCATGTCTTGACTAGTCAGGAAGAGAAGAGAGTTACTTTTTAGCGAAAACACGTTATTTGGAAGAACTCAGCTTGTTTTAGTGCTTCTTGGGTAGAGAAGGGCAGGAAGACGAGTTGGCAGATCAACAGGACGTTAGGTCTGTTTGTAGGTGCTGGATAAACTAAAGCCTAATTAGGCATAATTGACGCTCCCTGGTATTACGCTAGTTGTAATAAGGCTAGACTGGTACCAGCATAACTATCCACACCACAGCTAAGTGGGCAAAACGGGAATTCTGCCGGACAAAAACAACCATTGGTCATTTTTGCACTCGTGATGGCTATTAACCTCCGTACCCCAGGATATCTCACATCTCTGACCGCACCCACTCCCTTTGACCCCCATCCCGCGCGAGATATCTGACCGCAGATCGCGCCTGCGAAATCTTGGCAGTAATCCTGAAGCCAGGGATAGCCTCGTACGGGCCATGACAGTACCTTACCTTTCCGCCGGCCCTTTGATAATAATATAGGGCCGCATGCCTGCCTTTCTCATTCGATGTAAGGGGGTTGGCGGGGAGGAAGCTCTACGAGGGCGGTACGGAGTAGTAGAGACGTAGCTAGTTACTCTGTGAATTCGGTATCGCGATCCTACCTCGTCATTCTACTCCTATTCACCCATCTCATCTTATTATCAGCAGAGAATACGATCTCACTATCTCGCGCCTTATAAAAAATGGCTTCACTGTTCGCTACTACTCCCTCCTCTCCTCTATCCTCCTCGGCAATAGCCACCGCCGCGCCTACCTCCGAGATGCAGACCCAGGAGCTGGCGCAGATTGAGCTCCAGGACCGGTTGAATCTCCACAGCATCAAGGCGCTACACTACATGCGAAGCCAGCGGCCTAAGAATACATCCAGAGCTTATATCAATAAGCATCAGGAATGGCAGGTAGGTTGACAGCATTTACCTTCTCTCTAGCTCGTACGAAGAAGCTAAGGGGATACTATAGAGTTTCTGCAAAAATCAGGGCTTCCCAGACGGCGAATTAGTCACAGAGAAGCAGCTTGTCTACTTTCTCGATACCGAGGTCCTAAACCGGCCCCTCCGGTCCTGTCAATACAAAAAAGACCGCACTCGGCCAGATGGATCAACGGTTGAACAGACCCTAGGGACCAATTCAATCACGCAATATATCAATGCAATTGTGGACCTCTGGACGTTCCAAAAAAGCATTGGAACGAACAGCTTCCCTAACCCGCGTGGATACGCTGTTTCGGCCTTGATGACCGGCCGACTACATAAGGAAAGCGAGCGAAAGCGCGAGAAGTATCTTGACCGAGTCGCAGGCACCCTGCAGGATGGATATTCTAAGGACAAGATCAAGGATTTCGTACGATACTGTTGGCATGGATGGAGGACAATAGACCTAAAGCATCGAAAACCTCAGGCCCAGGAGTCCTATCTTCGTACCGCCGTGGATTTCCTTTTCAGTCACAATATGCTGCTTCGTGGAGAATCGTGCCGGCGGCTCCAGTTTCCTGACCTATTCACTATCTCGTTGCCTAACGAAGGATCGACTCCCTGTTGGCCAATGATTATGATCATGAATAACGGAAAGACGAATCAGTTTGGTCGCTTGCAGTATATGGGAGTAATGCGCCATCAGGATCCACTACTTTGCACGATGAGCCAAGCGGCTTTTTATCTCCTTTATCGCTGGCAGATAGTAGGAGAGTCACCACCGCAGTTTCGGAGCCGACCACAGTGGTATAATTTCCACTTCTTCAAGGGCTCGGATCGAGAGAAGCCTATCTCGTACGAGATCCAGCTGAAATGGGCTAATGAGGTCTATAATGCAATCAATCTCTCTACCGACAAGAAGACACATGCTGGGCGGAGACAGCCAAACTGTTTCTCTGAGAGTTCCCAGCGGACACACCACGTGGAGGTGGGAGCTCGTCGTCCGCTTATTGATCCCGGAACTCTAGGTAAAGTTCTCGAGCTATGTGCTGTTTCCAGGATCCTCACAGGGCGGTCGCTGTATGTCATTCTTGTCGATTTAATAGGTAAACCACTGGAATTTGCTCCAAGGTCGAAACCAGTCTGGAACTCCCCCGCCTCCAATATCGCATCTCGCTTGTCTCAAGCTCTCCGCGCTCCTATTGGGAGACTGCACTCCTAACACCCGGCTGATTAGGCCAGAGCGCTAAACCTGAAAGGGAATGGTAGAATCTTAACAAAAGTACCACCCCCTCAGTTCATCATTCTTTTCCATACCCCCGTGCCCCCCCTTACCTCCCTCCACCTCCTCCTGCTCTCCGACAAAGTTATTATCTCGAAGTTTCCGATCGACTCTGTGAATATATTAAAACAATGACGGATAAGCCGATTGTGCCGGTGAGTGATCTTTGTTACTTTCAAGTCGCGGTTTTGACATTCTTTGCCCATAGGACCCGGATTTGCATCTGGCGGCCGAGCCGTATGCTCCTGAGGACTGGCAGTCGTGCGTGCTTTCTCATCCACTGATCATTATGTCAACTAAATATTGTTCGTGGCGAATAGAGAGACAACATCCATTGCATCATCCCTGTATAAGGGTTTAATGGAAAATGGGAGACGGTGACTACTCAAACCACCAACAATTCCCGAGCAGGACTGATGGCTTTTTCAGGTATCAGGCACTGAAAAATACCGATTCTTTGTACGTTGCTGGTTAAAGTCCGCCATATTACGTAACTCACATGTGTGCAGTGTTCCTTCGGATGAGCAGCAATTCGAGGCTTATGAAGCTGGGTATTTCTGGAGCCTTTCATTCGCACAGGTTGGACGATTGTATTAACACCAAAGAAGTCACATCACCGCTGTACTCATGGAGTCAGACCGGCCGAATCCGCTGTTCAGGGCCCCGGTCGGCCCTAACCCACATGTACGTTAACTAACTAAGTACTGGACCATGCTGACATTTCCAAGCATATCCTCGACGTTGGAACTGGAAAGGGTTCGTGGGCAATGTAAGTGAGGATTTTTCCTTCACAGAGAGGCCTACTAACATCGTTCAGTGATGTCGCCGACATGTTTCCAAGTGGTACAAACCCCGGTCTCGCACTATAGATGGTCGACTCTTATGGGATGAGTTCAAGCTAAAAGATGTAGCAACCGTCCGCGGCGTTGATCTTTTCCCACCCCCCGTCTCTTGGGTGCCTCCAAACTGCATTCTTGAGATTGACGACGTGTTACAAGAGTGGACCTGGCAACAGCCATTTGATTTGATTCATATGCGGATTCTTGACGCTGCTTTTACTTATGAGGAGCAAGAGAGGTTATATCAACAGTGCTTCGAGTATGTTCATGCCTCAAGAAGATTGAAAAAAGCACGCTAAAATATATCTTTGCAGAAACATCCGCCCGGGCGGCTGGATAGAACAACTCGAAATGTCACCCGATTTCCTGTCTGACGATGGAAGTCTTCCTCTGGATAGTCTTGCTGCTAATTTGGGCCAAACTTGTGTCCGCGCTGCCGCGAAGTCTGGCCGACCCATGGATCTATACTACCGATGCAGAGAGCTGATGGAAAAAGCCGGATTTACTGACATTCAAGTCCACGAATGCAAGTGGCCACTCGGTCCTTGGGCGCGCGACAAGCAGCTCAAGGAGGTTGGAACTGTAAACTTTGCCCAATGGGCTGCCGGTATGGAGGGATATGCTATGTATCTTCTGACAAAATATGGAGATCCGGAGCCATGGTCGAAGGAAGAGGTTATGGTCTACGTCGCGAAAATCAGGAATGAATTGGCTAATCCTCGCCACCATGTCTACCATAGAGCGCAAGTTTTGGTCTTCTTTTAACGGCTTTTAACGTTAGAACGATATGCTGACAGCGTTATAGGAAGCGAGTGTGGGCTCGGAAGCCCCTCTCCAACTCCCAGGAGAGCCTCGCGACAACAGCTATCAAAAAAGAACACGCGGATTAGCAAGGATGGTGAGAGCTACCAAATATGATAATATTTGCTGCGGTAGTTCCGCTCATTTCACCTTTCTCCTATGATAGTGCCGAGAATATCGAGGTTCTTTTTCTCAGGTACTGTCCCGTATATCCTATCTCTTTTTTTGGCAATTTCCTCCCGGGACACCGGCTGCATAAGTAGCTGTGCCCATAGAATGGTATCTACCACTTGGTTATTTGAACTGTAGGAATGGGATGAATCCTTAAATATGTCGGTATTCCCTGTTGAGGAGGTTGTTATTATTATTGTCCAGAGTAGCGCACGCGCCCTTCCGCGCTGCCGTAAAAGTCGCCGAGGTTCTCACTGCCTGGGAATCATTCGGAGCACGAATATTTCGAAGCTAATCGCTCAGGAAACGCCGATGTCTAGCCCTGGCTTGTGCCCCATGCCGGCGCCGCAAGGTCAAATGTGACCGGAACAACCCTTGCGGGCAGTGTACTCACCGTAACTCGGTCTCGTGTACCTACACCGAAGACGGCCGGATACCACAAAGCGAGCAGGCAAGCCAAAGGCCTCGCTTTGCTGTTGCGACTGAAGGTAGTAGAAGAGATGCGAGCGTCTTGAACCAACTCCAGTCTCTTGACAATACCGCTGGCCAACGGGTTACCGGAGACAACGCAAGTGTGGCTGCGAGAGCCTCCGGCTCTCACCAGGTGCACAATACTTTCCCCAAAAGCAACACGACGACGGAATCTCCACAAAGTTCATCTGCATCTGGTCGTATCTTGGGTACTTTATCGAAGACAAGAATCTTTGGCCATGGCCATTGGATGAGCACATTGCCTTTAGTGTGTAGATGTTCCCTCTGCTCTTCCCTTTTCCTTGCTGATGGAATTAGGCGGAAAGACTGCCTACCTTGGATCCCATAACTCATATCGGACCCTTGACTCCCCAACAAGCAAGTGACGGTTCAATCCCTGGGATCTCCGACGTCTTAATGAATTGCAAACAGCTCGCTCGGGACATCAAATCACAGCGCCCTAGTCGAGGTCCACTACCCGCCGGCATACATCAGACCTTCCCCAATCCTGCAGTGATGAACCAACTGGTGCAATTATACTTCGATTCTTTTGAATCATGCTTCCGAATCCTTCATTTTCCATCATTCCAAGCAGGGTACGAGGGCTATATGAAGGATCCCAGGGCTGCAAAGACCTCTTTTGTGGTGAAACTTCTACTAGTGATGTCTAATGCAGCTTCGTTGCTTGACGATGCCGGCTTGCAGCAGGAATTGCGTGCCAAAGCCCGAAGCTGGATTCATGTTGCTCAAAGTTGGCTCTCCGCACCCATTGAAAAAGATGGCCTTTCAATGGACGGTCTACAAGTTCACTGTTTACTTCTTCTCGCTCGCCTGGTAAATTGTGTTGAAGATTTAGTCTGGATATCAGCTGGCTCATTGATGCGCATGGCAATCCAAATGGGCTTGCATCAAGACCCCGACCACCTAGGGGGAATGGCGCTTCTACAAAAGGAGATTCGAAGAAGACTCTGGTACACGATTTTGGAGATGAATGTGCAGGCTGCTTTGGACTCAGGCATGCGTCCTATGATCACTGCTGATGAGTTTGACACCCGACCGCCCTCAAATCTCAGCGACGACGATTTGGATAATGGAACTGGAACGCAGGCGGATTCTCCTGAGGAAGTGGCTCCGACACCGACAAGGGCTTCATTTCAATGTTTACTGGCCACCTCCGTTCTTTTAAGGCTGGAAGCTACTAGGGTCATCAATGCGTTGCAGGAGGAGCCTTCTTACGATCGTGTTCTTCGTCTCGGAGAGGAGCTAGCGTTGGCTTGCCGCAATGCGACCGTCTCCATTGATCACCACAAGTCGGTTGCTAAGAACCTGTGGCCGACAGAATTTCCATATAGCTGCTGTGACCATTTTCACCGTCGCTTTCTATTGTGCCTCCATCTTCCTTATGCAGCCAAAGCCGCGCAGAATCCGTTGTACAGCTACTCGTCCAAGGTAGGCCTTGAAGCCGCGCTTGATTTAGTCTCACTCCTTGACGATGAGATGTACCGTCGCCTGCTGCTTGTTGGTGGTGGTATGTTTCGAGATATTCTGACACGTGGCGCTATGTTGGTATTTTTGGAATTAATCACACAGTTGGAAAACGAGAGCTCTGCATTTGTCAAGAAACGCAATCGGGCACGCAGAGAGCCGTTCTTGGAAGACGCGAGGAACATCGTCCAGTATGCCCAAGATAGGCTTTGGCATGGTGAGACAAATGTAAAAAGCTATGTGTTTGTGAGTATGGCTATGGGTCAAGTAGATGCCATGCTTAGCGACTCGTCGACCAAAGATGCCATTGTTAAGTCTGCAAGCGAGAGTCCTGTTGTTTGCCATGGCATACTGAGATCCACAGCTGCCAACTTGCTCTCGAGGATGACCACGAACGCTGGTGCATTTGGGACAGGGGGCGTTGCAATGGCAGTACCTTCTGTTGATGATATCGATTTCGACTTTATGATTGATGGAAACATCGACTTTGGACTTGCAGGCTCTTGGTTCGTACGACAATGGGAGGACGAAATATAGTCCTAGGCTTTATTCAGCTAAGTATCTGTATCAAATTATCCTTCTACACACACACACACACACAATTCATTAACGCCCGGCGGCTAAGCCGAAAGGGCAACTAAAACTGATCTATCAATACAGGTCCTAATATACATATGCCGTGTCTCCTTCGAGCCCATACATGGATCCTTGCCGTATATGTCCTCTCAGCTGTCAATATCGTAGGGATCCTTGTGGGTTAGTAGTTTTGTTAGTAGACTGGCTTGAAGGCGCTTCTTCAAGTGTTCAACATCCTATCTCCGGCAGTTGAAGCGCGTCCACCAATTCTGGCACAAGGTGGTAGGTGTAGGTTGGTGAGGGGGAGGGTGTCATTGTGTTGGTCCACGTGGTTAGGTGGCGTCGAGTCGGCCCGTGGCGATTGCGAATCGTATTGAGGCTCGCACTGCTTCCAAGTTCGGCATCCAATGCTGATCATCAGAGGGCGCTTTCCCGCCCAGAAAGAAGGAGAGATTACCCCGGTGAGTATGGCTACATTGCAGCAGTGCTATTCGTTGTGTGGTCCACTTCCGACAGCGGAAGAGGAAGTGTTCCACGGTCTCTCTTGCTTGTCCACATACACACTGGTCTGTCTCTGCGACGTTGATCCGATAGAGATAGCCATTGAGTCTGGCCATGCCTGTCCGGAGCTAGGCCAGCACGCTCGCTTCTTTCCACGATAATCGATCATACAGCTGTCGAGTATGTTTTCCTGGCAGTGCTGCATCTATTCGTTTCACGTGTCTTCCTACGTTCTCTGGCAGGTCATTGCTGGTAGCTGCTTGGGATCGAGCGATATTCAGTGTTGTTGACTTCATCCTGGGGACCGATCCTTGCGGGACGGCATCCTTCTGGGTCGCAGTTCTGGCCTGCGCCTTGGCTAGACCTAGTAGTTTATTGTCCTTACTGGTGGGGACCCACCGAATATTGATGTGGTTTCCCTTTCTCTGCAGTCTTTTTATCAACTTGTATGTTTGGCAGACGAACTCCTGGCCCGACTGCTGTCGAGGGTTCCTTATCGTGAGGGCCGCCGCTTTGTTGCTCGTGAGCAGCGTGATCCTGTAGCCTTCCAGTCCCACTAGCATGTTCAACGTGTGCGCCATTGCTGCTAGCTCCGCGGAGAATGGATTTTGCTCTGATCTTGCGCCTAATGTCACGAAAAAGCTCTTCAGTTTCAGCTTTCGATACCGAGGTGGCTGTTTCTCGATCGCCACCCCGAATCCTACGAGCCCGTTTCGTGCCGAGCTGCTAACCGCGACTTGCATTGATCCGCCCGGTACAGTCCGTGAGTCCGGCCTTGCTTCAACACCAGTCTGCATGCGTGTCTCCCATGGTGCTAATGTGAACGGATTGATGGTTTCCAGTGTCTCCATCTCAATGTTTTTCAGCGCGTCCGCTACCTGGTACAGCGGTGAACGGTGGTATCTCCTGAACTTCTTGATGCAGGCTGTACTCCTGCGGAGCGGATTGGTTTCTGGAAGGGTGTGGATGTCCGTCCACATTTTCACGGCCCTTCTCCAAAAACGGTGTTGTGCAGCGGCAATGTGAGCCTCTGCCTCCGCTACGCTGGTCGCAACTGTGAGAAACGTCCCTACAATTGCTTGCGCTCCCACCCTTTGGACTCGGTTGATCGGTCCGCTGGCCTTGTCCTTGCAAGCGTGCATCCAGACGGTAGAAGCGTAGTCTACCACCGGGGCCACTGTCGATGTGAATAGCTGGCGTGCAGTTACTGAGGTCAGACCGCGAAGTCGCCGAAGCTCCATCGCTGCCTCCAAGCCTTTGGACGCTACCCTCGCGATATGTTCCTTGTACTTGAGTCTCGTGTCCATAAGAACGCCCAAGATCTTGACATGGTCTCTAGGCACAACGGTCTTTCCCTTGATAGTGAAAGGCTCCTGGTCCGTTTTGTGAGCCTTGGGAGCGAAGTGTATGATGGCTGTTTTGTCTGCCTCAAAAGTCGCTCCGCTTCTTTTCTCCCAGTCGAGTGCTTCAGTGATGATTGCTTCGATACCTTCCCGGTTGCCCTGCGCAGTCGGTCCGGTCACCCATGCGGTAAAATCGTCCACGAACGCGATTGCTCCTCCCTGACTGTCGATCTGTCGTTGAACGAGGTCTGCGTTGAAGAAGAGGAATAGGATTGGGGACAGCGGCGAGCCCTGTGGTAGTCCAGCCTGGGGCAGGCTTTGGACCTCAGATAATTGCCCATTGATTTGGATGGTCGCCGTTCGTTCCGAGCAGAACGCCTCAACCCACCGGAGCAGATCCTCCGGTATGCCTCGCGCTTTCATCCTCTGAAGCAATCGTTCTTTGCACACTCCGTTGTAGGCTCCTTTGACATCGAAGCTGATCAAGCTCAATACCCGTCGGCCGCGCCACGCCGTGTAGATTTGCTCTTGCAGAAGCACGAGTGCTTGCTCCGCAGACCGCTGCTTTCGGGCTCCGAAATGGCTGGTCGGGAGCAAGCCGTACGTCTCCACCGCGTGTGAGATCCTTTCCGCAACCACTGATTCCGATGGTTCGGTTTGGTCCTGATCTGCACCAGCCTCATATCACAACAGAGATATCTGATTTACGGCCTATCCCTGAATCTTGGCAAATTTATAACGTAATTAACAAGCGAGCCTGCCACCCAACTTGAGTCATAATTTTGATTTCCATATATTACCACCACAATGCCATTGAATTTTAAGAACTATCAATTCGTACAGATAATTATCTTATGCCCCATCTCCCAGCATCCACTGTATCTGAGTGGCGCCCGTTTTAGTTGAGTACTAGCCTAATTTGTGATCTCCACCAAGTCCGATGCTTTAGGTACTAAAGGGCGTTGCGTGGCCTATATCAACGTACACACCTCTAAAGCATTTATCCTAGTACAGGGTAAATCAAAATTAGTTTCCCCAATTTTTTCACATTATTACTTGAGGCTTACGCCATTAGGAGCCATTGAAGCGGGTTTTTGCCTGCAAACAACTGACAACTAGCTGGGGCGGTCGTTTGCCGATGATATCGGTCGTTGATTTCTCTATGTTAAAGAGATACCCTCACAAGTGATCACAACCACACGCTGCACAGGAGGAAGGATGAGAAAGAGGTCACCTAGCATCAAGTTGGCGCTACCGTTTACCACATCAAGTATGAATGGGACTTTGAAAATAAAAAAGCAGTAAAGTAATTGATTGGTGATAGTAAACTGACTCAATACCTTTTTAGAATCCACATTGTTCCGATTCCTAGTCGATATAGGGCGAGATGATCAAGCTTCCCGCTATGGTCGTAATCAAACGCGAATGCTCGGTTGGCGCTCGATCTAAGGTCGAAACCCCCAATTTCATTTCCGGGAGCTCCTTCCGCGTAGACGGGCCTAAATGTTAACGAAGGAGCCTCCGGCACTGGTCCTGTTGGAGGTACAACCACTGGTACAGTAGTAGTAGTAGTAGTAGTAGATTTCATTTACACTGACCCCTCGCAAACAAGCGATATGCAGTATACGACAATTATATATAACTGAGTGTGTACATCTAGAATGACCCACTTCCTGACATGAACTTAGAGCCTCGTCACGGCCTATCGTGGCCCATTGCCGCTCCCATTGTTAGGCTGCCCTCATGGCGCGGCTATAGTGGAATTTTGAATGAGACGGATAGCAAGTATCCGATTTTGGCTGCATCTCTGTTAGAAACCGCGAGAACGCGGGTAAAGCAGAAGCTAAGAATCTGGACAGTGACTGTGTGGCAGATGCGGTCTTGTTCCGAGTTCGTTTCATTGAGCGCTGGCTTAGCTTCTTCTCGAGCTGGAAAGGTGACGGTTTATTGTGAAACCGACGGTGAAGATCTTCGATTGTGAGTGTGGGTTTGGTAGGAGGGACAGGTTTGTCTGGTTTAGGTGTCGATTGCGGTGAAGGGGTGGGGTGTTGAAGAATAGAGGCGTAGGTTGGTCGTTAATTATGGGACGGGGAAACAATGATCGGTGTCGGCTGGGGAAGTTGGGGAGAAACAGGTTGGTCGTGGTCGTTGCGGTTCTGGGTCTATTGTGAAGGGTGGCGGATTGGAACGGCAGTCGAGGTTGGTGTTTGACCGTTCCCTCCCTGTAGTAGATGTAGTCGGTGTTGATTGAGTGTGAGATTTTGTACTGGAGTCGTCGGTAGTCTGTGTGCTGGAATGGGCGGTAGGAAATAATCGTTTAGGGGAGGAGAATGCGGTGGTTGAGGAGGGGGTTTGTTGGGAGTTTCGAGGTGGCGTTTTAGATCACAAGAGATTATCTGCCATATGCAGTCTTCCTCGTGTAGTTGTTGCACCTCCTCGAAAGGGGTGCGTTGGAAGGTGGATAGGTGCTGGGTTGATTGGCAGGCAAAACAGCATGCCAAGTCGTTGACTCCTGAAGGGTGGTAATAGAAGCCATTCTGGGCCAGTCGAAGCGGGGTGACGCCGGTGAGCACCATTCCTTGGAACGAACGAGCTCTGACTGTGATGGTGGAGTAGTGGTTGAGACGATAAAGTCCTCCTCGACGTCAGACTCGTCCTCGGCATGAGAGTCGTCCTCGAGGATTAGCTGTTCGGGTAGAAATGCGGGGTTTGCGGTTTTGGGAATGTGGGATGGGCGACGGGTGGAGATGGGCGTCTTGTCCGCCCCAACAAGCTGAGGGTTCATCCCCATCCGCTGGCTTCTTGTGATCATCCCCATCTTCCTTTACCTTAAACTACAGTCCTCCACTGGTACAGTAGCGACCGTTACTGCCTTCCGTGTCTGAGAACATAGAGTTACCCTTTCAAACCTTAATCACATGATATGTTAACCCGAGATAGATTTCGCGTAAATTACCGAGTTTGTATATACATCGTAATAATACCTAGTGGTGAGCTGATGGAATTTCTGCAACTGGGCTTGAAGCTGTTCCATAAACCAGGCACCAGTAGCGCCGAGAGGGATAGAAGCAATGCCTGTGATTATATCCCATTCGTTCATAAGGTCACCATAGATAACTGACCAGCCAGCTACGCGTAACTGTTCGCGTTTTTCCTTACGATCGGTTTCCTCCGTCATGTTTTATACAAGGCCCCGAGGGATATAAATAAAATAGTCAAGGATTTTGAAAATTTATCCAGCTAACCTACCGAGGTCAAGGTAGTTTATATATCCGAGAGTTATAGCGCATCAACAAGCAAATTTGTGTGACGTCACTAGGCGATAATATGGTATCAGGATCTTCTTATGCAAACGGAAATTCTTGAACTTTGTCTACTATCCACTTGTCCAGACTCTTGAAGACATATAGATATCGCCGGAAAAGACCAAGTCTTTGACAGTCGATTAAATTGCCAAGCTTTCTTGGCGGGTCATCGGGTCAAGGTAGGTGACGCACAGAATACGGGAGCACGGGTCCAGAAGAATACCAAGAATCAGCGGATTCACATAACGAATCAAAGTACAGAATCAATGCACTATCTAAGGTGGGGTTGTCTTGGCATCGGGGCTAGAACGCTTGGTAGATCTGTAGAAATGAGGCGATGGGTCCCGTACTGTATGACCAGATGTTCACAGACCCACGACAGGGTTCTATATGTAGCAGTCCATGGAAAGTCTGTACGTGGGCGTAATGTACATGACTTGACATGTTAATACACAAAGTGCAGTTTACTGCACCCCTCAATTTAATGCGGGTGGCTCAATAAATGATGTACGCTAAGGGCCTTGGCGGTGGGGCTGGGAAAGAGTTACTCAGTGTGTACTGGTCAAGCCGATTTCGAGAATGACTATACATTAACACCTCGTCGATCAACCAGTCGACTACCACGGCGGGGCATCGGCCTTCATCGACGATTATTTCCGCTGGCGGGTCGGCTGGTCCGCCGAAGAGAACTTAGCGAAAATTCAGTCCGAGGATATACCACGGATCGAAGCGTGGGCTCGGAAGACGGGGTCCAGCTTCGCAGCGGAGAAGACCGAACTCATCCACATCACTAGAAAGAGAAGCGAACAATGCCAAGGCCAGATCACCATGAACGGTACAGCCATCACACCGTCAACAACCGCTAAGCTCCTGGGTGTGATCTTCGACCACGAGCTACGGTGGAAAGAACACGTGCAACAAGTTGTCAAGCGAGCTACTAAAGTCAATATTGCACTGGGAGGACTACGACAGCTCCGTCCGGAGCAAATGCGTCAACTATATCAAGCGTGTGTCTCACCGATTGTCGAATACGCGTCGACGGTCTGGCACGACCCGCTTCGGGACAAAACGCACCTTCGACACCTACGCACGGTGCAACGAGCAGCGCTTATCCGGATCCTTTCTGCCTTCCGGACCGTGGCAACATCCTCGCTCGAAGTCGAAGCACATGTGCTGCCAACCCATCTTCGATTGCGCTATCGCGCTCAAACCACCATCGCCAAACTCCATACGCTACCACGGAAACACCCTATATGGGACACCTTGCTTCGCGCTCAGAGACGACGGAACAATATCGGGTCGTACGCGCGATTCCCACTTGCAGAGGCCCTAAAAACAATGTCCTTAGAGAGATTACACGAATTGGAAATGATCGATCCAACTCCCCTTCCCCCGTGGCGAACCGAGGCTTTCTCGAACATTGAGATCGAACCTGACAGAGAGACCGCGATAGAGCAGGCGATAGCGGCACGATCCAAGTCGGACATCATCGTCTACTCAGACGCTTCAGGACGCCACGGTCATCTTGGCGCAGCCGCTATAGGATTCAACAAGAACTCACCGGAAGCAACCGAAAACCTACAAATCCAGGTTGGCCCGATGGACCGATGGGCAGTACATGCTGCCGAACTGCTTGGGGTCTTGTACGCGATCACCCTCATCAACAAGATCGCCCTCCAACATCGAAGATCAATGGACACGCGGGTCAAATCCGCGACCATCCTCAGCGATAGTATGTCAGCTTTACAAGCAATCCAGAACCCAGGGAACAAGTCTGGACAACAGATTATCCACACCATCCTACGAACAGCCACGAACACCAAAACCCACGGCATCGCGGTTCGTCTACAGTGGGTGCCCGGACACTGCGACGAACCCGGAAACGACACAGCAGATCGGCTAGCTAAAGAGGCGGCCATACCAGGCCAAACCCACCCATTTTCCCCGTTGCTATCGCGAGAGAGGGCCCACATCAGGAACGGCATCTACGCCCAATGGGAAAGCGAATGGAAAGAATCCCGCGATGGCAGCCACCTTCGCAAGATCGACAACGCACTGCCAGCCAAATACACGAGACAGCTCTATGGAAACTTACAACGAAACCGAGCGTACCTTCTGATGCAGCTACGGACAGGACATTGCTGGTTATCAACATACGCCAAGTTGTTCCGTCACCGCGACGATGACCGGTGTGTCTGCGGCGCACGGGAAAGTGTGATCCACGTCCTCCTAGACTGCCCTGCGCTGAGGCACCTACGTAGGGAACTGCGGGAGAAGGTTGGAGACGCATTCAACAACATATCAACTCTCCTAGGAGTAGGAGGACCTAGAGGAGGCGATACTGCTCCGCGTGCCAAGACGGTGGAGGCTATCTTGGACTTCGCAGAAGCATCACAACGGTTCCAAAGTCGCGCGCCATGAGGGCAGCAACCCAAATAACGGCTACGAGGCCACGACAGGCCCCAACGAGGCTCTAAGTTCGTTTAAGAAGTGATACAAGACACATGGAACTGCGGGAGAAGGTTGGAGACGCATTCGACTTCGCAGAAGCATCACAACGGTTCCAAAGTCGCGCGCCATGAGGGCAGCAACCCAAATAACGGCTACGAGGCCACGACAGGCCCCAACGAGGCTCTAAGTTCGTTTAAGAAGTGATACAAGACACATGTACGTACATTGATATATAGTTGTGGTAGGCTGCATATCGTTCGCGAGGGGTCAGCGTAAATGAAATCATCCATCCATCCATCCGACTATACATTAACGGGATGGCAGGCTGAGCTGTTGGCTGGTGCCGGATTGGTGCTTCACCCAATATACCGACCTGTATGGTGTTATCCCGGACTCATTATTTGAAACTTGAATATTAGAGCCAATAATTATTTTCTCTAGCAATCAATCCTTCAGCCTCTGTTCACTGTCGATGGATCCCAGTGGCGCTGTTGTCTGTACGGTATTGCTACCGTGGCTACAGCAGAATTTTTCTGTACTACTCCTTGCATAGGGTCATGGCGCTAGCCTGTCGTAGTGTGAACCTTTCGTGTGTAATAATTCGCTGGTTGGTGGCTTTCCAGCTGACTAAAATTCGCCCAGTCTTTTGGAGAGGACCGTACAATTGTTTAAAAAGTAATCCGTTCAGGTGACAGATTGACCCGTCATCAACATCAGAGTGTCCTATGCAGTGATGATGGGGCCGTCCCGTTTTGGAACACCACCGAGTAGGTCACAAATTCGGCCTGAAATCTTTGCGATATTCTCTCGTATCAATGTCTGGCCCAACGTAGCGTCAATTTAGCAGAGAGATGGATGCAGCCCAGCGTTTTCCAATGGTCGTGCTTGTTGGGGGAATTCTTGTTATGGAAGCTTTCTTTCACTAGCGCCGATCAATAAGTGACATCAGGGATTCGCCATCATTTGCTACGATTATACACACCTCCACTGCGCCACCTTGATGGTCAACTTGCTTTGTTATTACAAAGTGAGCTAAACTTTATACGAATTTTCAGCGTTCAGTTACTTCGGTCGTCCTCGCCGTATCTCTGCTAGACGGGATCATAATAATACTACGATTTCCAAATCGAATCATTCCATCTTCCGTTCGTTTGCTCATTGAGCACTCTTGACTGGACTGCGGTAGCCAACTCGTAACTGAATGATCGACTATCTCCATGGATTTGTCTACACTTTCAGATACGTCGGGGACGGATACTTTGGGTTTGCGCATCTCTTCCTCGATCTTGTCGCTTGGCGTCTTGCAGAGCTCAGTCTCGACCACCCCGATGAATCCCATCGACATGACCTGGGAACATGAAGGCGAGACACTCGGAAAACCTTCAGGTATATGTTCTCGCACATTCGCCAAAGGACCTCCATCCAATCTTGGTGACGCCATACCTGCCAAGTTGGGCAAGCATCCCCGACGCACCAAAGTAACGATGAACGGTTCTGCAGCGTGGCGCTCGCCGCGTCTGCTCGGGAGCCTCCAGCGGAAATCAAATTTCGTCGATAGCCTTGTCGGTAAGCTTGATTGTTGCGTCTCCTTCAGCATCCGTGCCATGTCCCACACCCCGCTAAATCTCTCATTTCGTCCTGGAGACTTAACATCGCAAATCGTGGAACATACCTGGCCGCTTTCCGCTGCAACATCGCATATTTATACAGCCGGTAGATCTATTACCGTTTTCCCCCTGCGTACATTCATCCAGGAAGTCCTTCGTCGCGCACGTACTAGCTACTCGACCCTCCGCCTGGCGTTATATTACATGATTAATATTAAGCCCAAGCTGCTGCATGACTTGAACCAGGGACAGTCTCGGGGTCAGTCGCGTATGTGGGCCATGCAGTGTGGCCGCCGCATGTTCTTGACGGCTCTGATTCTGGCCTCCAAGTATTTGCAAGACGATAGCTATTCCAACCGCACATAGAGCAAAATCTCCGGCTTCGAAATATCGGAGATTAACAACAATGAGTTACTGTTTCTGGACGCAATTTGTTGGCGTCTGCACGTCTGTGAAGCTACCTTCCGGCGTTGGACCAATCTCGTCCTGAAGTTGACCCTTAGTGCTAGCGACCTCCCTGCTATAGACTTGAATATATCATCCACTAGCTACTAAACTTGTTGATTCGCTCCATATTGCGTAGACAGACCCCCAGCTAGTCACCAATATGCCTAGAACAGTGGAGTGCCTCGCTTGGAAACAGGCCATCTGCCACGACCGACATATTTTGAAAGAGAAATCTGGAAGGCACATTGATTGAACCTCACAGTAGGTAGGTTCTTCGCTGTGGAATCCGTCTGCTCCACCGACTGAGTCGCTCATATCCCGGCCGTATAGCACCGCAAGGATCAAGCAGAGGCTCTCATTACAGCCCCTAAACAGTCGTTTGCAACCGACCTGGCAGCATTTCCGTGTATTAGAGCGAGATAAAATGGGTAAATAAAGTCATCATCTTTGAATTGGGAGAATATCAGTTCTTATACAGGCAGGCCAAAAGCGGAACCTGGGATCTTTTCGCTTCCTTTACTGTAGGTAAGCTGAATATACTCTTGTATCAAGAAATGTTAGGTTTTCAACGGGTTGGCAGTTTAGGGCAAGATAAAGGTTTAGTATTGTTCACTAAGCATTTTGTTCTGTGATGTTTAAGTCACATCATTTATAAACAGCAATGTTGTATGTATCTAAGCCTAGTAAGGGATTATTAAACAAGGATTCGATCATTAAAAATAGTAAATCACCTTCAACTAATGACTGAGGCTTTGGGAGAAATATAAAGCCTTGCTAGTACAATTGACTCTTCGCCCATTCGACTTTCCATTGCATATATCCCACTCCAAGAAGGCAAACAACCCATAAGCTCATGAAGACGACGAATAATGTCGCACCATTGCCCACCACGATCACAGAGAGCAGCCAGATCCCAACATCTCTCATGTCAACCCTCCAAAGTGTGGCTACCTGAAGAGGACATTAAATTAATTCATCTCCGAAGCAAGGGATGGCAATGGCCCGCGATCAGCCGAATGCTACCTGGGAAATCGCAATCGTGTTGTCGTCTCCGATACAAAGGCCACCTTAATCGATCTCCACAATGGACTGAGGAGAGAAAAGATTCTCTTTCACGAGAATACGCAAAGTTAGTAAATGATACAGTATCTTCTTCTTAAGCTAATCATTCCGGTATTTAGGCTCCGGGAGCATATATGGTCGATGATAGGAGAGAAATCAGGCATTCCCTGGAGAGCAGCGGAGGCTATGCATTAGCATCTAGGGGAGCAGGAGATAGCACGTCGTGCTCAAGTAACATCTTTCAATATAAACTATAGCGAGGAGCGTCGCGGCACGCGCGCTGCGGACTAGGGTGCGAAAGACGCTTCAACCAAAGGGGAAGGAAGAGTGAACAGAGCCATTACGTTGCCCTCCATTACAACACTTTTCCCAGATATTCTCAAGAATTGCCAGTCTACTGGGTGATTTGCTTGGACTGAACATTGAAAGTGGAAGATGCGCAACACACTCAGAGCTCCTCTTTCCTGGTACTTGCTGTACTCTCACAATTTTATCAAGAATTATTTTCATCTCTTCCGTTATTTGCCGCGAAATAAATTATATTCCAGGAACCTTTCAGATACAAGAGTGACATATCGTTGTAATTGGGAATAAACGTATGTCGTGTTCTGTCACTTCTTCTGGTATCTCATGAAGAGCTAGGTCCTGATATTCATGATCTGCGATCTCTAAAAAGCCGAGGCTAATTGGAAGCTCAGGCCTGCTTGTCAAGAAGATCCGAAGGCGAATCGCTTTTGCCTTCTGTAAAAGAGGCAGAAATCGGATTATGTTTCGGATATCTCGATCATGCTCACATTCGTCCAAAGCGTCGATCACTATCACAGCGGTTCGAGGTTGTCGGCCGAGTTGGTCAAGATAAACCAGCGGTTGAAGGAGCAGTTTCTCAAACTGCTCCCTTAGCGATTTCGACGTAATGTCAGGGTCATCATCGAGTGCCTTTTGCACACTAGGCCTTAGCTCAGAAGTCCTGAGCATTAGTTGCCTAATTAATGTCGGGAAGAATTTCTTCGCGTTCCCACGGTCCCCTTCACCCCTCTTAAAGAAGAAGCTAGCGCCTAGATAGTTACTGTCCTGGAGCGACCTTGCCACAGTCCGAGATATTGTGGATTTTCCTGTCCCAGCCATTCCCTTTAACCAGAAAATGCTTTTTTGGGACGGTGACATAGCCCATTCCATTATCTGCTGGAGGAGCTCAGTCCTAGTGCCTTGGAGACATTGGACTTCGTCACGATCGGAGAATGACTCAAACACTGCCTCCATCGCGCCTTCCAACTTCCCAAGATCCATATTCTGATTAATACGATCAGTATTCTGGGCCACACTGACTATCAGAGAACTATGCAACTATTGAATCAGCTATACCGAGTCATAATATCGTGTTCAACAAACGTACGTTTGGTCCACCTGTAAAGAGAAGATGAACGAAGACTTATATTTCTCAAGGTTCTGAATAACGCCTTCCAACTCTGCGCGCTTCAGGGGCCATTTTAAGGCCCGCAAACCCACTTTCCTCATGAGCTTCTTCCCCTTCCCTGGATCAAGTTTGGCTTCTAAGGCGCGGAGGTCGGAGAGGCAATCGATAATATTGCTGACTAGTCGTGAAGATGTGGGTAGGGCCAATCCGTCATTACTTTGAAGCAATTTATGCAAGTCTTGGAGTGTGCCTTGGAGGCCTGTAATTGCCTGTTGTAGGGTGAAAATTTCGTCTCGTGCATCTTTCACCTCCTGAATGTAACCCCCGCAAAGCTTCACGATGCTTCCTGTCAGTTGGATGACTGCGATAACGCTCGCCGCCGAGGATAGAGCATCCATTTGGAAGAACAGAGGATAAAAGCGTATGTTTCAACGTGTGTAGGTACGATGGCGACTGTGTAAGAATTCGGGTTCGGGATTTTAGGTTGACCAGATAAAGCGAGGTCAGAAGATAAAGAGGGGTACAGTCGGATGGATGGATGGATGGATTTCATTTACGCTGACCCCTCGCGAACGATATGCAGCCTACCGCAACTATATATGCCAATGTATGTACATGTGTCGTATACCACTTCCTAAACGAACTTCGAGCCTCGTCGGGGCCTGCCGTGGCCTAGTAGCCGCTGATTTTGGATTGCTGCCCTCAAGGCGCGCGGCTTCGGAACCGTTGTGATGCTTCCGCAAAGTCCAAGACAGCTTCCACCGTCTTGGTTCGCGAAGCAGTGTTGCTTTTGCTTCTCTCACCGTCTCCAGGTCCTCCTAATAGGGTTGACACACTGTTGAATGCGTCGCCAACTTTCTCCCGGAGCTCCCGGCGCAGGTGCCTGAGCTCCGGGCAGTCCAGGAGGACGTGGGTCACACTTTCCCGCTCGCCGCAGACACACAGGTCGTCTTCTCGAAAACGGAAAGTCTTTGCATATGTTGATAACCAGCAATGTCCCGTCCGCAACTGCGTTAGGAGGTAAGCCCGGTTTCGAGGCAGAGATCCATATAGTCGTCTCGTGTGCTTAGCTGGCAGTGTATTGTCGATCTTGCAAAGATGGCCGCCATTCCGACACTCTTTCCATTCCTTCTCCCATTGGGCGTGGATGCCTTTGCTGATGTAGGCCCTCTCGCGCGATAGCAAGGGGGAAAACGGGTGGGTTTGGCCTGGTACGGCAGCTTCTTTGGCCAACTGATCTGCTGTCTCGTTTCCAGGTTCGTCATAATGTCCGGGTATCCACTGCAAACCAACTGCGATGCGGTGGCTCTTGGTGTTCGTGGCTGCTCGTAGAATAGCATGGACGATCTGTTGCCCAGACTTGTTCCCGGGGTTCTGAATTGCCTGCAATGCCGACATACTATCACTGAGGATGGTGGCGGATTTCACCCGCGTACCAGTCGGTCTCCGACGCCGCAGGGCTATCTTGTTGATGATGTTGATTGCGTACAAGACCCCGATCAGTTCGGCGGCATGTACTGACCATCGATCCATAGGGCCAACCTGGATTTGCAGGCTTTCCGTTGTTTCCAGTGAGTCGTTGAGCGCTATGGCTGCAGCACCGAGGTGACCTTGGCGTCCCGAGGCATCTGAGTAGACGACAACGTCCGAGTTAGACTATATTATCCATAGCCCTATATACGAATACTGACTTATAGGTGTTTTGTCAGCTCCAGCTTATAGTACTGGAGCAATCAACAACCAAGGAAACTTCGATTGTCCTTCTACTATTCAAGGTTATTGTCATACAGCCGACGTGAATTCTTATCGTGCAGGAGGCGAATTTCGATCAATGGATATGGATACATGCGGCCAGTGCACGTGCTGAGATAGGTTACTTTTTACACAAGAGTCTATGAAAAGATATCTAAGTGCTTATGCTTAGACCGCTACAGTCGGTAATGAATTGGATTAGATGGCTCCTTCCTGGTGTAGATAGACTTATTTTGTTTATTGAAAGGTACCCTGTGAGGAGTCCGAATAACCTCACTCCTAGATTCATTAATGCTAAGAAGGTGAGCACGTTTGATGCTAGATGACGATGGTAATATATTGAACTCATCCTATAGGAAGATAGCCATCTCTTCGATGTATAGGGTAGGCTTTTCGGCGAGGTGATCATAGAGGGCATCGAGTATGATAGGGGCGATACTTTGTTGTCGACCGACCGAGACTTGAGGAGATCTGGCGCTACCGAATATCCGTAAGTTCTTTCGTATGTTAGTGATAGAGCGCTCACTACACTGCGCTACCTTCGCCATTTGCTTTATAGTGAGTCTGTTCTTGCTGTATATCATATGAAGAATCATCTTACGCTCCCAGGGATCGATGTTTCTAGCCATTTTGTAAGTGGTTTGGGTGACTACAGTTGCGAGGTTGGGAAGAGTGAGAACAACCTACCCTAGGTTAGGAGGGTTTAGGGGGGAGCGGTTATTTTTGGATACGGGTTACTTTTGGACATGTAACGGTACATGACTATACAGTTTCATATTTCCATTCTTGTTACCATACAACCCTAGAACAAATCCGTGTTTACGGAATTAGCCATATTAAGTTTAGCGTATCCCGTGACTAGGGTTTGAAAGAGCATCTCTATGTTTCTGGATATGGAAGGCAATTACGGTCGGCACTGTAGCACAAGGGGTACCTCAAGATATCAAATATATATCGAATAGAGGCTATTCGGAAACGTTGTGGTCGATATTAAGGCGATATAAAGCTGCTGTGCTGTGTGCCGAGCGGGAACTAACCCCTGACCGATGGCGGACCCACCCGCGGGAGGGCCCGAGACCCCTCCCACAAACACGCAAGAAACCACCGCCAGCTTCACGGAGGACGACCTCGAAGCCAGAACTACCGTCGAAAGCCGGAAGCGAACCCGGAGTGGAGATATCTTCGCTCCGTCGGATCCAACCGGTCGAATCACCACCAAGGAGGTGTGGAAACTGATCAGCACGCTGAAGGACGTCATCCGCCACCAAACCACGACCATTGCAGCCACCCAAAACGAACTCCAGGAGATCAAACACAACCAGAACGTCCTCCAGGAACAGAACGAGAGACTCCATGAGGAAGTGAAAGCACTACGAGCGCAGCTCGAAAGCGCCCCAGCAGTGACCGCGACGAAGACCTGGGCGACAGTCGCAGCCAATGGCGGCAATACCACCCCCTCGCTGAACCACCAACAACCCGAGAAAGAGCAAAACTGCGTCCGAATCAGTACCCAGAGAACCTTCGTCGATCCAAGAGACAATTATGACAACGACGGAGACGCATTTGGACGATATCTCCCCACCGACACCGTCAACACCCACATTCGCACTGCATTGCAGAGCGACGATGCAACGCAAGACGTCCAAGTGGCGGGCATTGGCACCACCAAGACCGGCTATCTTATTCGATTCAAAAATACGGAGTCGGCTGAAGCAGCGCGCAATAACACTGGATGGCTACATAAATTAGGCAACAACACGAAACTGGTCAAACCACGATTCGGTGTTGTAGTCCACCGTACCCCTACCGAGGACTTTGACCTGGAAACGGGTGCCACCCAGGCAGCGGAGAAGATCATCAACGATAACGACCTGGCGGAACTCGGTTTCCACATCGACGAACTGGCCTGGATGAAAGCGAAAGATAAGGCCTTGGGGAAGTTCGCATCGTTGGGAATCTGGTTTGACTCCGCAGAGGGAGCAGAACATATGTTACGGAACGGCTTCCTTGTCAACCAACACTATATCCCTCACGTTGAACGACGTGAGATCAAGAAAAAGAGATGTTTTCGGTGCCAACGGTTCGGACACTTGGCATGGACGTGCAAGGAAACGCCTCGATGCGGACACTGTGCAGGACAGCACGAGCGTGAACGATGCCCACCGGGAGTAAGAGCGCGGTGCCTGGATTGTAATGGCGAACATCCGACTGGCGATCGACAGTGTCCAGGACCAGCGACCTCCAACCCCGTCAGATGCTAGAGAGAAACCTCCGCATCCTACAGTTGAACATGATGAAATCTGGACCAAGAATGGAGGCACTGATCAATGATCCTCAAAGTCAAGACCTGGATGTTCTTCTGATCCAAGAGCCCTCCATCACCACGTACCGCACACACGTCAATCACAGCGCCTGGCGACTATATCGGCCTACCGCACAGCTCGATGCTGGTCGGTTTCGCAGCCTGATCTACGTCAACAGACGAATCTCCACCTCCTCACACCGTCAAATACCATGCCACCACCCAGACGTCGCAGCCATCAAGATCTGGACAGCTAACTCTCAAATACTTCTCTTTTCTATCTACATACCGCCAGTACCACTTTTCACCGGCGACGACGCATCGGCGTTGCCAGCCCTCACTGCGATTCAAAGCTCCATCACAGCTGCTACACAAAACGAGCAGCGGTCGACCAGTATCATTGTTTCCGGTGACCTCAATCGACACCATCCGATGTGGGGCGGCAATCACATCGCGCCTAGGTCTATCGAAGATGCTAGCGACCTAATCGACTTTTTCCAGAATCGCAACCTCCAAAGCTGCCTCCCCCGAGGCACGGCAACTTACTGGGCCTTGAACAACCCAGGACAAAACTCAACCATCGATCAGACAGTGACAGACAGCCCGGACCGGCTCGTCAAATACCATCTATACCACGAGAACTACGGATCTGACCACCGCGCCACCTACTCGGAATGGAATTTGCAGCCTCAGACTAAGCCAAGAACCAAAGCGAGGAAAGCGTACGAGCGGGCGGACTGGTCCAAAATCGGCAAGGAAGTAGCTCGTCGGATTTCTCCTTGGAAAGACATTAAGACCCGGCCAACACTCGACCGAGTGGTGGAGGAGCTCACATCAGCAACGGCCCAGGCGGTCGACCGATTCACGCCCGACATGCGCCCAACGCCATACTCTAAGAGATGGTTTACCCCGGATCTCAAAGTGCAACAAGTTGAAGTCAATCAACTACGCAGGAGGTGGCAGACGAGCTGCGCGGAACTCGGACGAGACCATGCTAACACCACGGCTGCCTTTGAGGCCATGCAACAAAAGCGGCGAGCGTGGACCCGGACCATCCAGAAAACCAAAGCATCACACTGGAGGCAGTTCCTAGACGAGGCGGGTGAAGGAAAACTCTGGAAAGCCGCGACCTACATGAAGCCTCGGGAAACATGGGGTTGTACCCCAACATTGCGAGCTGGCTCTGAGGAGATCATCCAGAACGAAGACAAAGCAAAGGCGTTCCTCGATGCGTTCTTCCCCGCAATGAACACACCCGAGCCCAGCCCACCAGCTTCACCACTCCCTGAGCTTCCATGGCACCCAATCACTGAACTTGAGGTTGAGCGATCACTAAGGACAGCGAAAGGGACGACAGCGCCAGGGGAGGACAGTATTACTCTAGATAGCTCTATAGATCCTCGATGGAGACTGAATAAAAGATGGAAAATGTAAATTTATTCGTACGTTACATCGTAGTCATCTAAATTTCTTGGACGTTTCCTTGCCCTTCCAGACGTCCGCATTTGACTGTAGCCCTCCTTCTCCTGTGGCAAAGGGGGTAGTTGAGGTTCAGTCTCATCTTCCTCTTCTCTATAAGAATCCACACTCTTTCGTCTCTTTCCTAGAGTTCGCTGGCTAGGTTGGGATACAGCGGATGGTACATAGCCGTCGAAAGGAACGGAGTTTACCTTATGTATCTTATCTTCACTCTCACCTTCACCTTGATCTTCATCTTCATCTTCGCCTTCATCCTCATCCTCTTCATTATCGCTAATTGGAACCGGGGTAAATTGACCTAGTCTTGCCTCTCTTTGTAGCGCTGCTTGCTGTCTCTCTTCGGCGGTAGGCTCTTCCTCCTCATCGAATTCACCTGCAAGATCTGTTGTATCAAGATCAAACTCGGAGATACAACGGTACATCATAAGGTCTTGTACAGCGGTCTCATTGAGACGACCCCGTCGATAGTGGCAGACGTCGCGAGCAGAGTTAAAGAGACGCTCCACACCAGCGCCGCTAGCAGGGATAGTAAATATATCGCGTGTTATGCTTGCGAGTGTAGGATATTGATGCTCATGCTCCCGCCAGAAGTCACAGGGATTCTTGTTCAATGTGCCTATTAAAGAAAGGTTAGAATGAAAAATCAGCGGATGTCCGAATGGAAGAAATATACTGCCATATTCGAAATCAGATTGCCCCGCGTTTGCTCAGAAAATAATTCTCCAGCCCTATCCTATAATGAGCTAGTTTACATTCAGGTTAGCTGCTGATCGCGGCTTGACCACAAATACAATCACCGTTCATTAGTGTTTAGAACACGGTGCTTCCGTGACCCGTCTGTTTCAATAAAATAAACTCTAAACTCGATTTGTGTGTGTAACTCACACAGACAGACCCTTGTCTGTGTTTATCTTTCACAAGTCTAGAGGTGAATTGGTTCTTCTAAAGTCCAGCAGTTTAACCAGCGTTCTAAACATGCAGCGTATAAGAAATGTCCAAGATATGCAATCTTTGAGTGTTTATTTTAGTGCGAGTTCCTCTACGGAGTACATGGCAGGCTCTCGGCCAAAATGAACGAACAGGGGTAAAAAGAGGTTCGGCCAACCATGACCACTGCCTTGGCCCTGTTGGTGATAGAGATGCAGCGCCCACTTCATTGATTCGTCTGCAGCCCGTGATCGCACTAACTCGAGCACAGTCAAACTCATCTTATGAGGAAATTACGACAAGTGTTTGGACAAAGCAGAAATCTGGTTACCCTGGTCAGATTGCCCGCAGTCACGAGGTGATGTGCAGGGATCTACCCGCCGAATGCGGGTTCAGATGGTGCGCCACGGACACGGACCTGGAACCAACCAAGTTACGAGTTCCTCCAACAAAATATAAATCACCAGATCCGCAGTTAGATTACCAACCACGGCAGAAGTACAGCTTGAGTTATATTTTACCCGGGGACAGAGCAATGCCTCGTCGATAAGACTCGGTATTCCTAACTGAGACATCGCTGGCTGTATGGAATATATGCGAATGAAAGCGCATTCAATGGTATGGATCTAATAATTCTTTGTCTATATGACGAGCCTCTTCTGCTTCCTATCCAGACTCGGGCTGGGCTCCGGAGAAGTTCGAAGTCAAATGCAGCCTCTGCCCCTCTCAGTTGAGTGTCTGATGTAGCGTCAATATCCGGAAATGATCTGCTTTGGTTCCGCACGTTTAAAATGCACGTCCCCTCTCTCATTTGTCCGTTTACCTGACTTAGGATGTTCTGACATGTCCGCGAAACGGTGACCCACTTCTACAATTTGTCACTCAAACCCACTCTTGGTCCTAAGTAACTCATGGCCGTATCGATGGCTTGGAAACCGGTCGATCAATGCCCATTGGTATTATCTCCAAGATCCCCCTCCACCTCCTCCACCTTGTAGTCTCCCCTCTTCATTCTCTCCCCATTCCATTCCCGAACCTCGAGATCTCGACTCTCGTGGACCGGGTGCCTCGAACATGCTGCTGAACTAGTTTCTTGTTTGTCTTCCTCTTCAGTTTATGGCTCTCTTTCGACTTTATCTCGGCAGGTCAAGTCGAAGCTGCCTCTCACTTACTTGACAATCTCCGTCTTCCCAGAGTCGTGCTGAGAAGCAATGGCCCGTCCCCATCCCTTACAACACTCCGACATCCACACAGCCAAGTGGCCGGCTAAAAACCCTCCGTCCCAGAGCCACAACCTGTCCGAGCAGTTGGCCGCTAAACACAAAATAATCATGGTAAGCATCTAGAATCCACCCTAATTCTGAGTCTGTACAGCGCTAGATGATGCGTTGTCGAGCAGGACCGGCAGCAGTCGGTATTTCGGGCGGGCGATCATTCGGCGGCGCAGAGTCCACCGGTATACAGTCAACCTCAAGTGTTGTCCAAAGCCCAGCAGTGCCACCGGGTTCATCGCAGGGGAAAATTAGCCGAGAAACAAAAGCGTCGAAAACTCAATCGTCTCAAGACAGACTCCCAGGACCTGGCAGTTCAGCAAGCCCTGGCAAACACCAGAATCCAGAGGTTAGAGCAGGAGAACCAATCTCTTCGCCACCTATATCAAGGAATGCAAGACTTCCTACTAGAAATGCACCATAAGATGCTTCCCATCACGTTGGGGTTAGGGAGACTTTCCCGGCAAGGATAGTGTTGCAATGCATTGAAGAGATTATCGAGAGTCATAATTGATGGTCTCTTATCAGGCCGCGGTGGCTAAAGATTAGTGCTTTTATGGTATTCTGGAAGCAACTGATCGTGAAGCCTAGAGTCGAAGGCCAGCCATGGTGAAGAAACGAGATGATCTACTGCCAAGTCGAAGTGGGGAAGGGTCTACCAAAGCATACATCGAATATAAAGCAAGCAATACTAGAAACTGTCTTTTTGTATTATCTTCTGCTCTCCTTGGTTACCGTATCGGGCAACGTATCTTCGTGGTCTCTAGGAATGGAAATGAACACAACTGGAAACCGTCATGTTGGCGTTCAATTCACACAAAATTCACCCGCCACACCTGTGCCAACGGAATCAGATCAAAGATTGATTGATTAGACCAAAAGGAGATAAAACAAAAGAGTGATAAATAGGGGCAGGCTGAGCTGTCCCATTGCGGAGTAGCCGAATAATCGGGTGACTTGACCGATGTCGTAATAATACCTGCAAGTACTTGGCAAAGTACATACAAAAGGCGGAGAGGGTTCGACCAATCCCAATTCAGCGTAATGAAATAGAGTCCACATTCTTGACAATAGGCCAGAAGGTCAGAATGATACAGCAATATTCAAAATCGGCTTCCATCGTTTGCACAGATACGTTTAATCTAGAAGGTGGGGTCAACGCAAGCTAATCCAATTGAAACTGCAGAAATTGCCCTTGAGCCCCACATCAGATCTAAAAGTAGTAGAATTGGATCCATAATTGGACTAGTGGCGAGGGCCGAGATAGTTTCTCTGTGAAAAAGATGGAAGCCGATTTCGAATTTAGCTGTACAAATGTCAGGATCAAAATGGCGCCCTCGGTGGAATTCCCCGTTTTGTGGATCATTCGGATTCAGCCCACAATTGCGTTTTTGGCATCTACTGCACCCCATAGTTTGAAGCTTAAAAGGCAAGTCGTCTGCTACTGAAAAGAGTTTTCTCATCAGCTGTCGAGCCGCGTCTGAGCGTGGCTACTGGTGACCCTCCTGCTATAAGCCCACTGAGGTCGAGGCTGTAGTACTCTCGCTATAAGCCCACTGAGGTCGAGGCTGTAGTCCATGTACAAATCCTGGAGAACGCTCCAGGTCGGATTCAGTTCCACACGCAGGCCTCAGGCCATGCACAAATCCTGGATCAAGTACCAGGTAAAAAATCCTGGGCTATGACCCTTTACGGCTCAGGTCGGACTCAGTTCCACACGCAGGCCTCAGGCCATGCACAAATCCTGGATCAAGTACCAGGTAAAAAATCCTGGGCTATGACCCTTTACGGCTCAGGTCGGATTCAGTTCCACACGCAGGTCTCAGGCCATGCACAAACCCTGGATCAAATACCAGGTCGGGCTGTGATGAGAAGTTCCGCGCCCGCCCTCCAGCAAACGACAGACACCTCTTCGCGGTGCTGGAGATTATTACTCAGTTCAAGCTGAGGAAGCCAAGATCTGTCTCCAACTTTTACACAGAATTTTGCCCACCTGTGGAACTGGCAACAATCGTTCAAAATCCAAAATCATCATCGTTGATTATAAATTCCTGCATCTGTGTAATCTTTCAATTGTACTCCCTTTCTGTGATGGCATGGAATACACGAAGGAGGATAACAATGATCGTGAAACGGCAGGAACAGATAATATCAAGCTAGAAGAGGTAAAGTATAAGATCGGGTAATCTTGAGTTGTCGACAAGTCTTTAAACTGTTCAAACCTGTTCGACTCAGACCTGTTCATCTCGAACCTGTTCATCTCGAACCTGTTCATCTCGAACCTGTTCATCTCGAACCTGTTCATCTCGAACCTGTTCATCTCGAACCTGTTCATCTCGAACCTGTTCATCTCGAACCTGTTCATCTTGGGTTTATTCATATCGGGCTTATTCAAATCTAGCCGTCCTATGTAAATAGACCAACCTTTGTCTTCTGTTTGACCGTGTTATTTAAATCCGTAAATTAAAACCATATTTGTTTAATCACCGTTGTAACTATCCCTTGCCGTACGCAGCATTAACTATAGAAGATTCAATATACAATTATTATAGAGTCAGTTTTCGCTACTTGGTGGGTTAAACAAATCCTAAATGAATTATGGTATATTTTCATTAAGGCCAGTTTCGTTTAAAGGGGGTTTCAATTAGGATAATCTTCGTTCAAGATACTGTTCATTCAAAATACTGTCCATTCAAGATACTGTTCGTTCAAGATACTGTTCGTTCAAGATACTGTTCATTCAAGATACTGTTCGTTCAAGATACTGTTGTTCAAGATAATCGCTCAAGACAATCTTCGTTCAAGTGTTCGTCAGATTACAAAGTTTGCGTGGCATTATCAACCCCACTTTTCGCCGACTGTGCTAGCTAGATGTCTGTTCATAAACGTTGCCCGGGTCAAATTGATGCTGCGCGAATATGTATGCGATTTCTGTCTTCGTATTGTGGGCTTCCACTTGCGTCTGTCCCACGAACTTAGGGGCCTACACCTGATTCCTGACTTCTACCAACATTATATATCCTCGTTAGTCTCACTGACAGCGATGTCAGCAGTGTACGAGGGGAACAAGAATCCACAAAAATAGCTCATGATGGTCTGATAAGGACCACTTCCCAGACAGATCAACCCTCGTATCCGACATCCGTGACCTGCGACCAGTCATTGCGAGGCGATATTCCCTGATCCCATAGTCTCCTTGGTACTTCGGTCAATGCACTGGGAGGTATCGTGACAAATCGAACATAGAAAAGACTGTCGGAATCACAGAGAATCCGTACTGACAAGAAACACGGGGAACCGGCCAAGGTTCGGCCAACAACTTGTGAGCAGGAGCAAACAACTCCCACATTTCCCTCTAGTGGAGCCGGACGAAGCGACAGATCGGGTCACTCTTATAAGCACCGAGTCAGATGCCGGGGGAATTGCAAGGAGCTGTGTCGGCAGGGGCCGTGCAGGTATGGATGGAGGTACGCTCTCGCATAGATATGGTGTGGCTTGAAAGTGTCCCTAAACTAAACACCGCATGATTCAACAAGCCTTGCCAGTATAACAACATTGATCACCTCATCAGCGTGCCTAGGGGAGTTGCGAATCGCGTTTGCAGTGCACACTACTCCTCTACCATAAGCAATGGCCCACCCTCATCCTTCGTGATTCGAGAAGTAAAGTGAGAGTTCGAAGAGCACACGTGGCATGCGACCGAGCAATGTTAGGCCTTGTGTGCAAATGGAAAGGGACGGAGGGTAAGAGTGGAACCACAGTTGTTTCGAAGTCGTCGGCTTGGTGAGAACTCGCGCACACTGTCCAGGAACAGTGGTGTTGGCATGAGGGCACGCTCTGGCATTGATATGGGGTGGCTTGAAAGAGCCCCTAAACTAAGCACCGCATGAGTCAAGAAGCTTTGCCAGTATTATGACAATAATCAAAGTGAGATTTTGAAGAGCATACGTGGAATATGACCGAGCAGGGTGAAAGATGGATGACCAAAGCCCATGCGATGATTGCTTATC